CCAAGAGCCAGAGTTGTGGTCCCAGCTTCATTTTTTTTCTCTCCCTCTGCTCTGCGCTCACTCTGCATGCTGCTACCAGAGCAGGGAGCAGCAGCAGTCAAAATACCTCAGAAACTCAAACAAATAGGCTTTAGCAAGGCTTTAATAAGCTAAACAATACCGGTACATGAGAAAACATGTTCATAATGAACGAAAATAAATAAATAATTAAATTTTGTCCTTGCTGGTCTCGAATCCAGGTCTTCTACTCTCTGGTTCAACACTCTACCCATTGCCTTATTGGAGGTTTGTAGTTAAATGAGCTGCGCATTGCACAACAACATGGTGACGGCTTTTTATATTGAGGAGGAGGAGCCTCACCCTGGGGTTGCTAGGTAAGGGGCTGAATGCAGATTCCGGTGGGTTGTCGTACGGCTTGTGACATCACAAAATGACTGAAGTATAAAACTTGTCATTAATATACATTAGAATACATTTACTTACAGTAAATATGCCCCCTGGGTGCATTTTTTTAGTCCTATGACTGTTTTTTTAAGAAGTACATACCCAAAGTTGAGTAAAAAAAACTTCAAAAAGTGAATTTTGCATAATAGGTCCCCTTTAACTTTCAAAATCAACCTCATTCAAGATGGCCCCCTCAGCTCAACCATAACCAACATAAAATAGCTCTATAAGTCAGTCCGTTATGCAAATTCTGAGCTAAACTTTGGTGGCTGAGAGTCATCTTCAACACACAATCTGAGCACGAACCGATCACTAAAGATCTATTTTTAAACTTTATTTTATTAACTATAACAGGGAACTCTGTCTATTATAAACCACTGGATGTATTTTAGTGAAACTCGCAGGTTGTAATCCCTGAATTCACCTCTTCGACTGATTAACTTTTGCAGTAACACTAATTTAGGATGGCCGCCACAAGGACAAAGTGTCTGTAACTTTCACAGTTTTGGGCTAAAATTGCGTGTTTGGCTGAGCATCATCATTCTCACCCAGAGAACGGGATTTTGTATGTYCCAGCATACAGTTCAGCTCTACATCCAGCAGTTGTTTTAAGAAGTTGTTTATATCAAAAATAAATTTAACTTTCCATCATAGTTTATCTAAACACCTTGAAAATGGCTTCTCTCTTTAAGAACCTCCTATTGTTTCTGACATTCCCACTTCAGCACATCTTCACCACAATGATTCGGGGGAGGGGTGCTCTGTGGGGCTGCTGGCCTCCAGGGAGGAGCTTTGTGCAAATGGGTGGAGCTTTGTACCAGCAAGTGTTTATGMAGCTCCACCTGACTACCACAGGAGATTCAAGGATGTCTCCAACATGAATGAGTCAAAGCAACACTTAGTATGTTTTTGATGAGGGGATGACATCAGAACATGAGATAAAGCATAAAGCCTTTGACATTAACTTTTGGAATCAACTGTTTTTGTCTTTTTGAAAAATAATTTTTTTTGATCCACAATACACATTTTAAGAAAACTTTTCAAAAGTAACGACTAGATGCTCATCTGTGACTGATTATCTTCAGCATTCGACCACTTCAAGATGGCCGCCTCGRCTCAATGACATTGGCCAACACAAATAATGTCTATACGTCAGTTTTACAGACATTATCTAAAAATGAAAGTGGAAGTAGTTGAGATTCATCCTCAGCACACGCGTCAGGTAACAGATCACACAATGTGTTATAATATTTTATGAGATCTTACAAAACTTTATTGACAAGATTTGACAAACTGGATTATTTCCCTTTTACAATAAGATGATCTTTGTCTAAAACTGAGGCGATATGAATTCCTTTGAGGCAGGTTCCCAACCTTTTCTCAACGCACCCCCCCTACACACACACACACACACACACA